TGTGTGCATGTTTATGTGGTTTATGAGGACACAAATTTGTATAATGACATGGGTATGACATAGGTATTACAACGAGAAGGTGATTTATGAGGACATTTTGAGTGTCCCCGTAATTTAAAAGGCTTATAAATCATTCAGAATTAAGTTTTTTGAAAATCTAAAAATGCACAAAGTTTCCTGTAAGGGGTAGGTTTAGGTGTAGGGTTGGTGTAGGGCAATAGAATATACAGTTTGAACAGTATAAAAACCATTACGCCTATGGAGAGTCCTCATAAACCATAAAAACAAACATGTGTGTGCGTGAGAGTGTGTGCGTGTGAGTGTGAGTGTGTGTGTGTGTGTGTGTGTGTGTGCGTGTGCGTGCACGAGTGCGTGTGTGTGTGTCAGAAGCACTTTCACTGACTCTGGTTTCTATACGTTTTTTCACATTCACGATTTAAGAGTGCAAACAAATGACTTCAATTTCATAAGACATTTCAGGTGGTGTAGGGACGGGTGTATCGATCCTGAAGTATCAATATATCGATACTGATAGTATAATAATACTGAAAGTATCGATACTCAAATAAAAAATATCGATACTAAGGTGTGTTTTATTTGCCAGAGATTTTGTTTATTTAACAAAAAAAATTATGTGTACAATATGCATTCAATTGTGTAGGATAAACTATTTTCCTGCTTGTCTGAACGCACGCAAATGTTGCAAGACAGAACCAATCGATCACGGAGAGCGTTCACTCACTTCTGACAGTGCATTCAAACAGGGCTGCGTTTCCCAAAAGTACTGTATCTTTTGGGAACGGCAGCCCAAAACAATGCTTATCAGAGGACAGAAAAAACATATATGTTTGAGTTAATTCACAATAAACTAAGTGAAATGGTAGCTTACATAGTTTGAGCAGTTACATGTATTTAAATTGAGCGTTAAAGTTCATATTGATCATGTTCTATTCTGCAATGTTAATATAAATCATACACTGTCAGAATAAAAAGGCTGTATTTTATGCATGCAACAGCCACTGCAGTCCCTTATGAAAATAAACCATGGTTTTACTAAAGTGACCGTAGTTCAACTGTAGAATTTGTAGATTTCCATGGTTACCAGTAAACATATTTTAATTATAACCTAATAAGTTGCAGTTAAAGCATATTGAATGTTAAAATGCATTTCAAATATAAAGTTAAGTGGGTATCATTAACCATTTTACTCTTAGTAATTTAATAATTTAATAAATTTCATAATTTATAAAGTTTAGTTTAGAAGTATCGTATCGGTATCGATATCGAAGATACTGGCCTTTAAAAGTATCGGTATCGTATCGAAAACAAAATAAGTGGTATCGCCCATCCCTAAGGTGGTGTAAACATGTTCTTTATAAATTCATGTTCTTGGTCTTAATTGGAGGGATTCATCAGTGTCTGTTACTCAAAAAAATAATGTTTGTTGTAATTTTCATCAGAATGTAATAACTAGATTTGTAGCTGCTGCTGTCCACGATGCAGCCGTTGACGAGTAAATACTCTTCAGATCTGACTTCATTCTGATAAGAAACACACTTAACATTGTTGTTTTCACTTTTATTAATATGTCAGGTTGAACTCTGATTCATATCGACTTTAACGATCAGCAGAACCCAGGGAACAATGGATGTTGATTGAGAGTCAGGATTTAATGAGGGCTGCTGTCAAACCAAAGCAGATCAGAATGAAGATTACTGCTAGAATAAACTAAAAAAAGCACAATATTATGCTAAAATAAACATGAAACGGAGTTTGTGTCCTATTTCACTGACCTAATGTGACCAGTTCTGAGTGAAACTGGGTTTAAGGGCGACGTTTTGTTTTAGAGAAGACAAAGACTGCCTGTTTTTTTTTGTTGTTTTTTTTTATGCAAAATGTAACTATATTATCGTCTGGCTCTTTATATAAAGTTAGATAAATAAATATGTAACGACCTCAACTTTCATGCATACAGTACATTGACATGAAGTGATAAATACTGAATAGAATACTGTATTTCAACTGCTTCCTTGTTTAAATTGTCACACATATGTAAGTACATTATCAGCAAGCTCTAATCTGACTATTGCAACTATAAGGCATGAAAATATTAAGAATTATAAACATTAACACCATCATTTTCTGTAAAGCTGCTTTGAAACAATGTGTAAAAAGTGCTAGCCAAATAAATTTGACTGGACTTAAGATGTTTTTTTGTTTTTTTTTTAATAGAATAACATCACTAATTAATCATTCACAATAAGACAAGAAGCATTAAGAAAATTTATATTTTCTTTATTTTTTTTATATAAAAAAATATATATATTTTTTTTATTTTGAAATTTATTTTGATTTCAAGCTGTATGAATTAGGGTTATTATAGTTAACTAAAAATAAATAAATAAATACATTAATCAATTAATTAATTAAAGATTGTTTTGAATTTGTGCGGTATAAATCCGGGTTATTATAGTTAACTAAAAATAAATAAATAAATAAATAAATAAGACTGTGTTTTGATTTAAGACAAGAAGCATTAAGAAAATTAATATAAACTAAAAAAATATATTTTATTTATTTTGAAATTTATTTTGATTTTAAGCTGTATGAATTAGGGTTATTATAGTTAACTAAAAATAAATAAATAAATAAATTAATTCATTAAAGTGTGTTTTGAATTTATGCTGTATAAATCAGGATTATCATTGCTGACTAAAACAAAAACCATAAAATTAAATATATAAAAAGTTAAAATTATACAAATATAAAAATTACTTTTTTCAGCTAGTTGTCAAGGCAACATTTCTCATTTTCATTTTGTTACACTTGATGTTCTAAAATAACTAAAACTAAATATAAAAAAAAATACTAATAATAAAAATTACAAAAACAAAGCAAAATGACTTAACATTTTAACTAAAATTAAAACTAAAAATATAAAAATAAATATTAATAAACAATATATGAATAATAAATAATAAGTGCATCTCAATCATCACTGGTATAAATGCAGGCTGATGTTGGAGAAGTCCAGATAGATTGATGTTGTGTGTTTCCTGCAGTCCGGCTGGAGAAGCGTCCCCGCGGCCCGAGTGTGTGTCCGTCTCAGGCTGGCTCTCGCCGATCTGGCCCTGCTCATGCTGGACCTCCAGAGCGCAGAGCAGAAGAGGAAGTCCATTGCTCGGGACAGGAAGTCATCAGTGGAGAGAGCGCTGGAGGACTACATGAGGAGCAGCGCTGATCTCAGCCGACAGGAGAGGGTGAGAAACTGATAACCAGCAGCACATGAGGAGCGTCTGAGAGCCCTGACAGAAGAAAGAGGACCTTTGTATTACATCACGTGTGTGTGATTGCTGCTGTCTCGAGACAGACACTCTTCATGCGTGTCTTTTATGTTTCATTTTCATGCGCTCACAAATACACGTGGCAAAATTACGCAAGAAAGACATAATGCCTCTAGAGATCCTCTGAGAAATTTGAGTTTGAGTTTGTTTTCAACATCATATTTAGTAGTAAGAAGAGTGCGTGTGTGTGTGTGTGTGTGTGTGTGTGTGTGTGTGCGTGTGAGGTGTGTGTGTGAGAGTGTGTGTGTGTGTGTGTGTCTCCAGTCGATTCAGTCAGCAGTCAGTCAAACACAGATGAGATGTTTAATTTCTCAGTCAAGTAACTCTCACATTACATCACTCAATTGATTTTTTCATTCTTTGATATTTTTATATCAGGCCTTAAACGCTTGAGCCGACACATAAACATCTTTATACTCCAGACAGCGGCTGCTTCACGCAACAACATTCAAACTAAATCCCTCAAGCTGCTGTTGCATCCTCTAGTGTTTTAAAGAACACTTCCTTTTGTGAGAAAGCAAATAATTGTTTTATTCATCAAGGACGCATTAAATTCAACAAAAGTACCAGTAAAGTCATTTATAATGTTACAAAAGATTTATATTTCAAATAAATGCTGCTCTTTTGAACTTTCTATTAATCTGTGAATCCTGAAAAACAAAATGTATCCCAGTTTCCACAAAAATATTGTGCGGCACAACTGTTTTCAACATTGATAATAATCAGAAATGTTTCTTGAGCAGTAAATCAGCATATTAGAATGATTTCTGAAGATCATGTGACACTGAAGACTGGAGTAATGATGCTGAAAATACAGCTGCGCATCACAGAAATACATTACAGTTTAACAGATATTCACACAGAAAACAGCTGTTTTACACTCTAATAATATTTCATAATTTTTACTGTATTTTTTGATCAAATAAATGCAGCCTCGGTGAGCAGAAGACACTTCTTTCAACAACATTTAAAAAAAAGTCTTGAACAGTTCTGTATATTCACTAAACACAGATCTGAGAAGATTTTAAGAAGAAATGCCCAGTTAATATCTAATTTTCTCTTAAAATCAAAAGAAAATAATAGAAAAATTCATTTTATTTTATAAGATTTTTGTTGTTGTTTTGTTGCATTGTGTTAGTTAATATACTAAAGAAAATCATCCTGTGTGGACACTTTTTTTTTTTTTATATATAAATTAAATTCACAACAAAATAATACCAGGACTTCATGTGCTTTATATGTGCTTTACAATTCTAAATAATATTTCAGTACTTTTTGCATTATTTTGTTATTTTGAATCAGAGTGGCCCTAAAACAGACTTCATATTCTTTATGAAAGCATATCTTCCACATCATATTCCAGCAGTGTCTTGTCCTCTGTGCTCAGGACTGGTCTGCTGTGGGCCGGTCTCTGGCTCAGGAGGTTTTGACTCACCTCACAGCTGTCAGTTCGCTCTCGCCGGACTGTGTGGAGACCAGGGCTCGCTCCCTCGGCATGATGGGAAGGTGCCTGAGGATTTTAGCTCAGCAGAGAGACCCGCTGTACCCCTCCACACTGTGGACCGAGCCCGACCCGGTAAAATGACCTGAGAAATCTCATGGAAAGTTCTCCAGTGAATATACAAAGTTCTAGTTATGCATTGCTCTATGATGTTTTATTAGCATCAAATGCATATGTGCAAAAGTGACTCTTTTGAGTCACTTCTTTTCAATGAATCAGTTGAATCGCTGCACAGATTGATCTGAATGATTCTTAAGCAAATTGGTTTGAATCAGAACAATTGTTCAAAATTGGTTTTCAGTAATCACAAATGCATATGTGCAAAAGCAGCATTGTAATGTCCAATTTGTGCACGATTTACTCTTTGAGTCGCTTCTTTTCAGTGAGTCAGTTGAATTGCTTCACAGATCAATCTAAACGATTCTTAAGCAAATTGGGTTGAATGATAGTTTAAAGTAATCACAAATGACTAGAAAGGTCAGTAAAAAGTCATGGACCATTGATGGGAACCTTCTGTTATTTGTCATAGTGATATAAAAAAATAATTCTGTCTTTAAAAATGACAGCCTCACATGCAGCAGCATCATTATGTACTGTTATTAAGATAGTTTGAAAAGAAAATAAGCAGACGTTTAAGTCACAGTATAGATTTTCTTTCTCCTCCACCTGTTTAAACTCTATTGAACGTCATTAAACTCTGCATTTGGGGCTAATTTACTTCGGCTCCCTTAATTCACCCTGCTGAAGAAGCTTTTCTCCAGACTGCATTGATTCACAGAGACTCAATGTGAGCACTGTTCTATCAGGACCAGGAGAGAGAGCAAAACCAGGAAGATAATGAAGACCAACAAGTGAAGATGAATGAAACCGAGAAGAAACAATACGCTGGCAAACGTGCAGAGCTGCAGGTACATCAACACACACACTTTTATCATAATGAGGCCATATCATAGACTTTATACACATGCACTAGTATAGATTTAATATACTGTAATTAATTATGACTGCAGTCTCAAACACTACTGCAAATATTAAACATTAAAATTTATTTAATTTATGAGTCATTTTCTCCTTTGAGGATCCACCAAACTCACTTGTGGAGAAAATCTTGTCTGTTAATAAGGCCAAAAATCCCTCCAGCATGTTTTTAGTTTTAAATACAACATTTGTAGAAATAGCACTATATTCTTAAGTCTACTTATGCAAAAGTGCCTCTTTTGAGTCACTTCTTTTTAATGAATCAGTTGAATCGCTGCACAATATCGGTCTGAATGATTGATCAAAACAGTTGTTTAAAATTCATATTTAGGAAGCACAAATGCATATGTGCAAAAGTTGCATTGTAATGTCCAATTTGTGCCTGATTCGCTCTTTTGAGTCGCTTCTTTTCAATGAATCAGTTGAATTGGTGCATAAATCGATCTGAATGATTCTTACACAAATTGGTTTGAATCAAATGATTGTTCAAAATCTTTATCCAATAATCACAATTGCATATGTGCAATAATGAAACTATATCTACTTATGAATCACTTGATGCTTTTGGGAATCCAAAAGAGGATTTGTCAGATTTTAGCCACTCCGTATGTAAAGTTTGGCTCCAGTGAGAAGCAGTGAAAACTTTGGAAGTGCAGACCTGTAGTTTTGTGTCTGTTCTTGTGTTTACTCTCGGTGTGTGTGTGTGTGTGTGTGTGTGTGTGTGTTTTCAGAGCGAGCGGAGGGCAGCGCAGCGGCTGTTGGCTCAGGCCTGTGAAACTCTCTCTCAGGCTGTGAGTCTGAGTCTTCAGCATGACCTTCCTCATCTTCTTCCTCGCGTCTGCACAGATCTGCTGGAGTGTCACGGTCAGTTCGACCCCGGCGCCAGCGGACAGTACCTTGCCCTGCTGCAGGTACTGCATCTGACTGCACTTTCACTATTCACTATTCAAGTAGCATAAATGTGTTTTTTTTTAATGGTTTAAGTTTTAATTTTATTTAACTATAATATTTTTTTTTTCTTCTTTTCACTTTATTTTGGTTTTTAGTTTTTATTAAAAAATGTTTTTTCATTTATATCTTTTAGTATATTTTCTGTTTTAATTTAAATTGTAGTTAGTTCATTTTGTTTAGTTTTTTTGTAATTTTGTTAATGTGTCTGTATAGTTTTTATACATTTTTATTTCAGCTTTGGTTATTTTAGTAAATCAAGTTAAACTAAATGAATATGAGAATGTTGAAAGGAAATACATTTCTGTCATGACAGCTTTCGGAGATGGCAATGTACATGACAATGTTAATGTATTTGGTCTTGGCGGAATAGATCTGCTACGCTGCTGCTGCTGCAGAGCAAGTACTGAGACTTGCTACTGCGAATACATTTATTTATTTCGTCATTTAGCAGACGATTTTATCCAAAGCGACTTACAAATGAGGACAATACATCCACAGCATGCGTATAAGAAATACTGCTGCTGCACATATTACATATATGAATAGTCCCCCACAAAGCAGGAGACACAGAAATGAACAATACGAGCCAATATGTGCATGATGATACTGAGTATAAGGATATAACTGCTGCATCAGTGCATATACATGTGTCCACACACATGAAGATTAACAGTCAGGATAGACAAGACAACCGCCACAAAGCAGATATCACCAAGACATATGTACTGCTGCTGCTCCGAAGAGTCATGTGAACCGCATATATTACTATCTATGTGAGCCCGGGCTACCACGCCGACCGGCTTAACACTAGTGGCCTATGACAATTTGAGCCCGGGCTACCACGCCGACCGACTTAATTCTAGTGGCCTATGACTATGTGAGCCCGGGCTACAACGCCGACTGGCTTAACTCTAGTGGCCTATGACTATGTGAGCCCGGGCTACAACGCCGACTGGCTTAACTCTAGTGGCCTATGACTATGTGAGCCCGGGCTACAACGCCGACTGGCTTAACTCTAGTGGCCTATGACTATGTGAGCCCGGGCTACAACGCCGACTGGCTTAACTCTAGTGGCCTATGACTATGTGAGCCCGGGCTACAACGCCGACTGGCTTAACTCTAGTGGCCTATGACTATGTGAGCCCGGGCTACAACGCCGACTGGCTTAACTCTAGTGGCCTATGACTATGTGAGCCCGGGCTACAACGCCGACTGGCTTAACTCTAGTGGCCTATGACTATGTGAGCCCGGGCTACAACGCCGACTGGCTTAACTCTAGTGGCCTATGACTATGTGAGCCCGGGCTACAACGCCGACTGGCTTAACTCTAGTGGCCTATGACTATGTGAGCCCGGGCTACAACGCCGACTGGCTTAACTCTAGTGGCCTATGACTATGTGAGCCCGGGCTACAACGCCGACTGGCTTAACTCTAGTGGCCTATGACTATGTGAGCCCGGGCTACCACGCCGACTGGCTTAACGCTAGTGGCCTATGACTATGTGAGCCCGGGCTACCACGCCGACTGGCTTAACGCTAGTGGCCTATGACTATATGAGCCCAGCTACCACGCCGACTGGCTTAACACTAGTGGTCTATGACTATGTGAGCCCGGGCTACCACGCCAACCGACTTAATTCTAGTGGCCGATGACTATGTGAGCCCGGGCTACCACGCCGACTGGCTTAACGCTAGTGGCCTATGACTATGTGAGCCCGGGCTACCACGCCGACCGGCTTAACAATAGTGGGCTATGGCTATGTGAGCCCGGGCTACCACGCCGACCGGCTTAACAATAGTGGGCTATGGCTATGTGAGCCCGGGCTACCACGCCGACCGGCTTAACAATAGTGGGCTATGGCTATGTGAGCCCGGGCTACCACGCCGACCGGCTTAACAATAGTGGGCTATGGCTATGTGAGCCCGGGCTACCACGCCGACCGGCTTAACAATAGTGGGCTATGGCTATGTGAGCCCGGGCTACCACGCCGACCGGCTTAACAATAGTGGGCTATGGCTATGTGAGCCCGGGCTACCACGCCGACCGGCTTAACAATAGTGGGCTATGGCTATGTGAGCCCGGGCTACCACGCCGACCGGCTTAACAATAGTGGGCTATGGCTATGTGAGCCCGGGCTACCACGCCGACCGGCTTAACAATAGTGGGCTATGGCTATGTGAGCCCGGGCTACCACGCCGACCGGCTTAACAATAGTGGGCTATGGCTATGTGAGCCCGGGCTACCACGCCGACCGGCTTAACAATAGTGGGCTATGGCTATGTGAGCCCGGGCTACCACGCCGACCGGCTTAACAATAGTGGGCTATGGCTATGTGAGCCCGGGCTACCACGCCGACCGGCTTAACAATAGTGGGCTATGGCTATGTGAGCCCGGGCTACCACGCCGACCGGCTTAACAATAGTGGGCTATGGCTATGTGAGCCCGGGCTACCACGCCGACCGGCTTAACAATAGTGGGCTATGGCTATGTGAGCCCGGGCTACCACGCCGACCGGCTTAACAATAGTGGGCTATGGCTATGTGAGCCCGGGCTACCACGCCGACCGGCTTAACAATAGTGGGCTATGGCTATGTGAGCCCGGGCTACCACGCCGACCGGCTTAACAATAGTGGGCTATGGCTATGTGAGCCCGGGCTACCACGCCGACCGGCTTAACAATAGTGGGCTATGGCTATGTGAGCCCGGGCTACCACGCCGACCGGCTTAACAATAGTGGGCTATGGCTATGTGAGCCCGGGCTACCACGCCGACCGGCTTAACAATAGTGGGCTATGGCTATGTGAGCCCGGGCTACCACGCCGACCGGCTTAACAATAGTGGGCTATGGCTATGTGAGCCCGGGCTACCACGCCGACCGGCTTAACAATAGTGGGCTATGGCTATGTGAGCCCGGGCTACCACGCCGACCGGCTTAACAATAGTGGGCTATGGCTATGTGAGCCCGGGCTACCACGCCGACCGGCTTAACAATAGTGGGCTATGGCTATGTGAGCCCGGGCTACCACGCCGACTGGCTTAACAATAGATGCCTATGACTATGTGAGCCCGGGCTACAACGCCGACTGGCTTACTGCCACGCCGACCGGCTTAACACTAGTGGCCTATGGCTATGTGTGCCTGGGCTACCACGCCGACTGGCTTAACACTAGTGGCCTATGACTATGTGAGCCCGGGTTACCACGCCGACCGACTTAATTCTAGTGGCCTATGACTATGTGAGCCCGGGCTACCACGCCGACTGGCTTAACGCTAGTGGCCTATGGCTATGTGAGCCCGGGCTACCACGCCGACCAACTTAACGCTAGTGGCCTATGACTATGTGAGCCTGGGCTACCACACCGACCTGCGTAACAATAGAGGCCTATGGCTATGTGAGCCTGGGCTACCACGCCGACCGGCTTTACACTAGTGGCTTATGACTATGTGAGCCTGGGCTACCACGCCGACCGGTTTAACTCTAATTAGACGCGCACTATGTTTAATGTTCAGAGTGTTAACAAGAATATGCATTGCAATCTGATAGATAAGACCCCCGCACCCACATGAGCAAATATCATAAGTTATTCATTTGATACCTGTCATTAATATAACAATATTGTCTAATTGTATAGAGCCATTAGAAGCTATAAAAGTGCATGCTTGTTATGCTGCGTGCAGCTGAAATCAACCACACACTCAGTACAGCTAATAAAACATCAGCCCTAGATTTAAACTAACGTGACATTGAGATTACGCCACTGAATATAGTGAACCCCGGTTGAAATGCATACACAAGAATGCTTATTATATTTAACCTGTTTTCATGTCTGTTACCCTCTGTGTGTCCTCAGAGCGATTACATGCTCTAGACTGCGTTTGCTCCAGCTGTATAAACACAGATGTTAAATGCTGCTGCTAATATGCTTAAAGGGGTCATATGATGTTGCTAAAAAGAACATTATTTTCAGATCTTCTTTATGCACCGAGAGCTTGTAACACTCCAAAGAGAAAGGAAAAATTGAAATCGCATCATATGACCCCTTTAATATTTCGCTCCTGCATATGATGCAAACTGCTAACATGACACTTATTTTAGCCTTGTTTATGGTTGCTCATTTTTTATTTAAATTTGGCAGACCACGCAATATACACAGCGATATGGATCTTAGATGTTGATTTCAGATGTTTCTAAAGTGCACTGCTACTGCTACAGCAAACACTTAGCCAAGTATTTGAATGTTGAGCAGCGAGCTCATTGGCTACCGATACAGGAGAGAACCAATCGGCTGTGACGTGATGATGATGTCATATTGAGTTACATCTATCGGACTGTGCGTTCTAGAGTTTCATGCCAGAAATTTGTATCTTGTATATATTTTATTTCAGTTAATGTTTATTTTATTGCAAGAATGATTGATTTTATTAATTTTATTCATTCATTCATTCATTCATTTTTGTGGTTTTAGTAATTGTAAATACCCTTCTGCTGAATTGTATTTTTAAAGGAATAATTCACCCAGAAATGTTCTTTCATCATTTACTCACCCTTATGTTGTTCCAAACTCAAATGGCTTTCTTTATTCTTTCAAAACACAAAAAAAAATATAATATAAATAAAAATCCATACAATGACTAATCTCCAAAAAACAAACACTGTACATTCCACTGTAACAAAAGTGTCATAACAGCTTTTTGCATTATATGAGGAACAAACCCAAAGTCATTATGGACTGATAATATTCCCCTTCTTTCTAATCTAATCCTGCATATTCAAGGTCAGATAAAAGACACACAAGAACCAGTGACTTTTTGTATTAAACCTGCCACAACATCTTGACATCTTGGCTTAAATAAGCGAAAATCTCAGTGAGATATCAGAGCTGCGATCTGAGAGTAAGTAAATTGAATTGAATTGAATTGAATTGAATTGAATGCCTTTATTGTCATTGTATTTTTCTGTATACAACGAAATTAGGAGCACTACTCCTGACTGGTGTTAGAAAAACAAACATATAACCACAGACAATAAATACTATAAGACTGTACAGTACAATTTTACAAGTAAATACAACAAGTGACTGAGTCCTGATATTCACATTGAGCAATCCGAGTAAAGTGACCATTTATAGTATTGCACGTTGGCCTTCACCTTGATATGCACAGTAAGTTTATACAAAAGTACAATTTAAATGGAATGAGTAACTGTGGTGATTTAGTGACTAGAGATAGTATTGCACATTGACATATAGTGTATATTATTGCACATATATTATTGCACCTTTACTGCAGATATAGTGTTCACATTTAGTAACCAGATATGGTATTTCACCCTGACATACTATTTAGTGCATTGTTTGAAGTTCTGATAAATAAATTGTTCAGACAGTGGTATTGCAGATTGACATACTGCATATTGTACAATATTGTATATTGCATGTTGTATAGCAGCAGTATAGACAGAAGAAATTTGAATGAAATAAGTGACTGTAGTTAAAAGAATAACGTGGTTGGAATAGTATTTTGGCATTAGTGCATTTTATGAGTTTAAAGTCCTGATAGCAACTGGGAAGAAACTGTTCTGTAAGCGAGTGGTTTTTGCTCTTAAGGATCTGTACCGCCTGCCTGAGGGCAGAAGATTAAACAGGTGGTGTCCTGGATGGGATGTGTCCTTGATGATGTTTTTGGCCCTTGAGAGATAATGGGAGCGAGCAATGTTTTCCAGGGAGGGTAGTGAGCAGCCCATGATTTTTTGGGCTGTGTTGATTATTCTTTGGAGGGCTTTCTTGTCTGCTGCAGTGCAACTGGAGTACCACACTGAAATGCAGTACACTAACACACTCTCTATGGTAGAGCGGTAAAAGGTAACCAGCAGCTTACACTCTATGTTATTCTTCCTAAGCACTCTGAGGAAGTGCAGCCATTGCTGTGCCTTTTTGATCGTTGCAGAGGTGTTAGCAGACCAAGACATGTCGTTGGATATGTGTACTCCCAGGAATTTGAAGGTGCGGACCCTTTCAACACAGTCCCCATTGATGTAGAGTTGGGCTGGTTCAGTATGGGATGAGTCCGATCACTGTGGTATCATCTGCAAATTTGATGATGGTGTTGGTGGGATGAGTGGGAGTACAGTCATATGTGTACAAGGAGTAGAGTAGAGGGCTCAATACACACCCTTGTGGAGAGCCGGTGCTGAGCGTGATGGTGGAGGAGAGGTGGGGGCCGAGCTTAACAGTTTGTGGGCGGTTTGTGAGGAAGTCCTTTATCCATGTGCAGATAGAGGGGGAGAGGCCCAGTTCAGATAATTTTGCTGATTAGAATGTCTGGGATAATTGTATTGAACGCTGAACTGTAATTTATGAAGAGTATTCTTACATAGGTTCCCTGCCGTTCAAGGTGGTTAAGTGCAGTGTAAAGGGCTATGGTGATGGCATCATCTGTAGACCTATTTGCTCTGTAAGCAAACTGGTGTGGGTCAAAGGTGGGGGGAAGTCTGGTTTTGATGTGCTGTGAGACCAATCTCTCAAAGCACTTCATGATTACTGGTGTTAGTGCAACCGGTCTGTAATCATTTAAACTGCTGGTGACTGCTTTTTTAGGAACAGGGATGATGGTGGCTGATTTTAAGCAGGGTAGTATGATGGCTGATGTCAGTGAAAGATTGAAGATCTTTGTAAAGACTCCAGAAAGCTGGTTGGCACAGGCTTTGAGTACTTTGCCAGATACTCCATCCGGACCAGCAGCCTTTCTCACTGTAAAAAGTAATGAGTTGAACCTACTTGGAAAACCTGTTCTGTACTTTTACTCAAGTACTTGATTTGTGTACTTCGTCCACCTCTGGTTATTAATATAGATATGATGATTTGAAATGCTCTACTGGATTATGAGGCAGCAACAGCTTGTGGGTAAGCCAAAAAGCTGAAATCTTACTGTTATTTGACAGTTTAAAGAAAAAAAGATTCAGAACCCTATCTGTAAAAAAAAAAACAAAAAAAAACCTTAACCATTTCAAATTGTATTCACTCTAAAACTGTATTCATTGTTCTTTGCACCAGACAATGGAAACATACCTTTAATCCAACAAACTAGATGCTCTTAAGTACTGTTTACAAAAGTTGTTTAGTTTAACCATTGCATCCACCTGAAAGTTCACATAACACAGTGCAATTAAGTAAATTCAACAAATTTGTAAAAATCAGTTATGTTTACTCCCTTTTCTTAAGTAGATTCAATGATGACTTTTTACAGTGCTTGTGTTTACAGTTTTGAGTACTCGTCTCACCTCATATTCCTGTAGGGTGAGATGGCACGTGCCAGAGGTTGGTGAAGGTGCTGAAGTAGTTGTGGATTGCTTAACCTCAAAGCGGGCAAAGAAATGGTTAAGTTCCTCAGCCAGTGAAGCATCAGTGTTGACAGTGCTGTGGTTATTGTTCTTATAATTGGTAATGCTCTGAATACCCTGCCACACTCTTCTTGGATTTTTGTCTGTGAGGTGGTCCTCAATTTTCTTTTTATACTCTTCTTTGGCAAGTTTGATGCCTCTCTTTAAGTTGGATCTAGCAGTGCTGTATGAAGCTTTGTCACCAGACCTGAAGGCGGAGTCACGTTCTTTGAGTAATGACTGCACTTCACATGTAAATATCATGTTCCATGAAGATATTTTGTAAATTTCCTATCGTAAATACATCAAAACTTAATTTGGACAACTTTAAAGGTGATTTTCTCAATATTTTGATTTTTTTGCACCCTCAGATTCCAGATTTCCAAATATTGTCCTATCCTAACAAACCATACATCAATGGAAAGCTTATTTATGTGATGTATAAATGATGTATAAATCTCAATTTCAAAAAATTGACCGTTATGTCTGGTTTTGTGGTCCAGTGTCACATATGTGTGTGATGTTCATATGTTTGTGAGAATGTAGAGTTCTGGTGGATGTTTGAGCGGATGATTATTACTCACTAGACTGGTGTGATCTGATCTCAGAGTGGCGCGTGCTGTGCTGAGATGTCGTCTGTCCTGCACTCGATCTGCTCCAGTGTTGGTGAGTCTCAGACCTGTGCTCTGCTGAACCTGCGGAGGAAGCTGCTCTCTTCACAGGGTCACAGACCCAGCGGCGCTCTGACAGCAGTGAACCAAGAGCTCAACGCTCTCTCCAAGGTACTGCGCTGACAGCCTGTTAATGACACACACCTCCTCAGAGCATTCAGACACTGCACTTTCCATTCAAATGTGTGAGCATGTTATGCACCTCATTTTGTGCATATGAATGTACATATGCATGTGATTTTTGCCTTTTGCTTGGTACTAAAGTTGAAGTTTGTGGTTTCCAAGATTCTACCATAAAAAATAGAGTGGAAACATTTTAAGTTTACAGATTGAACTTAAACTTGCAGAATATAATATAATATAGTATGCAAGCAAGCTAGATTATTTATATAGCATATTTCATACACAATTCAAAGTGCTTTACAAAAACAATTTAAAATAATCAAAAAATAAAAGTAACAAATGCAAAGAATAAAAAAGATTAAAATTTGATTTAAAATGTATTAAAACAGTTAAGAATAAAAAGAAAATATAATATAATATAGTGTTTATGTAAGTTGAGATAAATACTAATATATAAAAGATGCATGATCTCAAAGAAATACAAACAAATGAAACGCCATTATGATAACACACACGGCATGCAATTAACATTAATTTAATATAATATAACATCACATATTACATAATTCTAATGTACATAACTGATAAGAAAAACTATTTCAATGGAAAACCATCCAATGTGAACTGACAGTTCTGGAAATGTAAATTAATGTTTTTCACTGTAAATTATAAGATGACTAGTTCTTTTTCACTTCCAAAAACTGTAAAATTACATGAAATGTCACCTTAGATCTATTAGTTTTTAACATTTACATTTATGCATTTAGTAGACACTTTTATCCAAAGCAACTTAAGTCAATTACAAAAAGATTTTCACCGTATAGAGTAATGGAACTTGCCTTTAACCAATTAACAAGTTTTTTACCAAAGTATTTTTTACAGTCTTTGACTGTTAAAATTATGATAATTTTTGACCAAACCTGTGTTTTCATAAAGCAAAAACATGAGTGAGCTAAACATCACAGAATGACTCAGAATTAAACATGGAAGCAACTCTCATTTTAGTGGTTTTGCATTAATAAAAGTTGAAGATGGTGTGTTTTAATGTATTATTATTTATACAAAACTGAATAATTCCTCATGCTTAAAGGTCTAGTCGTGTGTGTAGTATTCTTACGTTTGGCTATAAACCAATCACATGTCAGAGAAAACATATTCTTTGTTCCTATTGGTTACAGTTTATGCAAATTAGCCAAAGAAGGTTGGGTTGTGTTCTTGCTGCTGAGGAGTTGGCACTCATGTTACGTACGTAGCTGATAAGAGTTTAATACATTCTTCATGTTAATCTAGAACCTCCTTATATACTTCATCAACTTAACGTAAACACAAAAGTGTGTCACTCGTTTATAGTCCTTCAGACTGCACATATTCATTTACATTTATTCTTTTAGCTTTTATCCAAAGTGACTTACAAGTGAAGAAACGCAGTCACAAGTGATTCTTACATTTACATTTACATTTAGTCATTTAGATCAGATAAATACACAGTCTAAGACACTAAAGTGAAAACAGCTGTGGCCGCCTTCTAATTAGCACAGCCAATAGTCTATAGCAGGGCAATTCCTCAAATCGAAACTACAGTTCGCACTTAAACGCAGGAAGGGAGCAATTAAATTACACGCGCTCCTTCTTAGCCGAGGGCAATTATTATAATTACCAGAAAGTGCAATCAAAAATACAAACGCAAACAAAAATATAACGTAGAAATAGGCAGAAAACGAAATATTCCTTCCTAGCAGCAAGTAATAATTCCAACAGCAGATCTATAAACAAGTATTATGCAGGACACTCACGTGCAGCCGTCTGTCTCTTCTGTTGACTAATCGCTTGACCCAAGTTATGACAGTGACCAAGCAGTTTAAATACTCTACGGTCGCTGTGGCCGCCTTCTAATTAGCACAGCCAATAGTCTATAGCAGGGCAATTCCTCAAATCGAAACTACAGTTCGCACTTAAACGCAGGAAGGGAGCAATTAAATTACACACGCTCCTTCTTAGCCGAGGGCAATTATTATAATTACCAGAAAGTGCAATCAAAAATACAAACGCAAACAAAAATATAACGTAGAAATAGGCAGAAAACGAAATATTCCTTCCTAGCAGCAAGTAATAATTCCAACAGCAGATCTATAAACAAGTATTATGCAGGACACTCACGTGCAGCCGTCTGTCTCTTCTGTTGACTAATCGCTTGACCCTTCCTGAGAAACGTTCAGAGGAGAACAGAGATGAAGTGAGAAGGAGAGTGGTTTGCGTTTAGACAGAATGGTTTTGTGAGGGTTCTGCTTTATCGAGAGCAGCGTCTCTAGACAGAGCAGATCCACGCCTCATGTGTCTGATCACACTTTCAGGCCTTCACTCACCTGACCATAAACCCAAACCACCTGAGAATTCTGGGAGAAATGCCACCCAACTTCAAGATCCTGCTGCTCCAACACTCAGAGGACAGGTGGGGTGGACTCAACTCTATTATAGAAATATACATTCATGCATTTGGCAGATGCTTTTATCCAATGTGACTTATGCTGCATTCAAGTTCATGCATTCCCTGGGAATCGAACCCATGACCTTGCTGTTGCTAGCACCATGCTCTACATTCTATTCTATTCTATTCTGCTTTAAGCTGTTCAATTCAAGTTTATTCGTATAGTGCTTTTCACGATACAAATCGTTGCAAAGCAGCTTTACAGAAAATTAAGTTATTCTCATCTACTCTGTTCTGTTGTATTTTATTTGCTCTGTTCTACTCTGCTCTATTTACTCTTTTCATTCCTTTTATTCTATTCTATTCTGTTCTATTCTATTTTCTATTGTTCTACTTTATTCTCATCTTCTCTGTTCTGTTGTATTTGCTCTGTTCTACTCTGCTCTGTTCTGTTTTTCTCTTTTTATTCTATTCTATTCTGTTCTAATCAGTGTTTCTCTTCTCATTTATTCTCATCTTAACTGTTCTGTTGTATTGCATTTTATTTACTGTGTTCTACTCTATTCTATTTTACTATTTTTTCATTCTATTCTGTTTGGCTTTTTCTGTTCTGGTGTACTTTATTCTCATCTTCTCTGTTCTGTTTTATTGTATTTTGTTTACTCTGCTCTAAACTCTTTTCTATTCTGTTCTATTCTATTCTGCTCTTCTGTTCTGTTCTATTCTACTTTATTCCCATCTGCTCTGTAGAATTGTATTTTCTCTGTTCCATTTTTCTATTTTCTATTCCATTCTATTCTATTCATTCTCATCTGCTCTGTTCAGTTGTATTTCATTTGCTCTGCGCTATTCTGCTCTGATATGTTCTATTTTCTATTCTGTTCTATTCTATTTTATTCTAGTCTAGTCTATTCTTTGCTACTTTATTTTCATCTGCTCTGTTCTGTTGTATTTTATTTGCTCTGTTCTACTCTGCTCTGTTCTGTTGTACTCTTTTCTGTTCTGTTCTATTCTATTGCATCTATTATGCTGCTCTGTTCCACTCTATTCTTTTCTAGTGGCAGTTTAGTGGGCTGTTTATTTTATTTTCAAAGCAGAAGAAAGTATGTCTCCTTCTGTTCCTATGCCATTCACTAGGGGTGTGTGTGTGTGTGTGTGTGTGTACTTGTTTATGC